AGTAGTAGTAGTAGTACTAATAATAATAATAATAATAATAATAATAATAATAATAATAAAGAAAAAGAAGGAGAAGAAGAAGAAGAAGATGAGAACTTTGAGATGGAATATTAATGTAACGATTAAACAATGATAATAACAAATGTCAAGGTTAGAGGTTCCACTAATGGTATATCAAACAAGTATAGTATAAACTCTTATTATTGAATTGGAAACCACACACAAAGGAGGTTCCAATCAGATTATATATTGTTAACATGATTACATTAGTCATCTTATTCAATTAATGCTAATACTTGTAAATCTCGTCAAGCATTCATGATTATAACTTATGTTAACAATAAATCAAGTTCCTTTCATAGCTCAGGTGTCGGTTATACCATACATTATGGGCTATGAAAGTGCCAAGCATTTGTTGTACCAAGTGTTATACAACATAAATCAAGATTAGTCATTTAACAAGCAAAGTATTAAAGAGTGAACAAGATAACAAATATAAAACATGTTAGTATCAAACATTAAAGTCCATATTAAGTTTACATTATACTTATTCTTACACCATTAGTGTAACCTTTTCACCTTGACATAATTAACTTAGCTAGACATAATGAAAGAAAGCAAAATAGATAAACAAAATAAGAACATAAAAGTTAACTAAGTAAAGGAAAGGAAATGAAAGGCATAAACTTAATATTAATGAAAACAAAGCATAAAAAATACAAAGAGAGAAAGGAAGAGCATGATCTTGATCTGGAAACCAAGATGCCTAAATGCATGGCAAATGCCTCCTTTTATAGGCCAAAATTAGGAACTATTGATTTGATGACTAATTGATAAGTGGGTGGCCAACTTTTGAGTTGGTGATAATCCTTATCTTCTCTTGTCTGCCCAAAACGTCATTGATAACGTCAAAACTGGAGCCAGTTGCAAACATGAAAGTTGTAGGCAATTGTCTCAGCTTTCTTGTGTAAACAATTCAGCTCATTTGGACTTCTAGAACTCCAGATATGGCCAAAATACCGAACAGTGCTCGGGCTGGAAGACAGATTCGGGCTTCTTTGTTGTTGCTATAATTTGGACTTGAAAATGGTCTTTTTTTTTATCTTGGGCTCCATATGAAAGTTGTAGGCCTATGTCTTACCTTTCCATCCATATAAAGTAGACCTAAATCTGAGATCTATAGCTCTAGATATGACCTAATTACCTAACAGTGTTTCGGAGATATATAGCTCTAGATATGGCCCAATTACCGAACAATGTTCTGGTTTGGATTGCACCGACATCTCTTTTCTAATTTTGGTCATCTTTTTGCCCTTGCAATTTAAGTTCTTAAAGTCATCAATCAATCCTTTCATTTATGTGATAGGCCTGCATTTAAAATGAACATTTACCACACATTAAAGGTATCTTATATTATTAGATATATTATTATAAAACATGCTTTAGTTAAGGAGTTATTGATACTTCAAGTGCAAAATGATGATATAAAACCATGATAAAAATGCACTTTTAAGTGCTAATCAAAACTCATCAACCAATATTTTTATTTATGTGATAAACCTGCTGATTAATGGAATCTCTAACCTTGATATTTGTTATTATCATTGTTTAATCGTTACATTAATATTTCTTCTCAAAGTTCTCATCTTCTTCTCCTTCTTTTTCTTTATTATTATTATTATTACTACTACTACTACTACTACTACTACTACTACTACTACTATTATTGTTGTTGTTATTGTAATTGTTATTGTTGTTGTATTACTGTTATTTATAATTTGTACAATTAACCTCCCTGTGGTTCGACCCCGGTCTTGCCGGGTTATTTATTACTTCGACACTCCTGCACTTGGGAGAAGACATCAATCTTTTAGTCATGTCACCTACATTTAAAATGAACATTTAGCACAAATTAAATGTATCTTATATTATTAGATATGTTATTATAAAACATGATTTAGTTAAGGAGTTATTGATACTTCAAGTGCAAAATAATGATAGAAAACCTTGATAAAAATGCACTTTTAAGAACTAATCAATTAGCTAAAATTTCAAAAATAATAAAAAAATTATTTTGTTTTGTTTTAGTATTAGGGATTACGAATTTATACGTAAAACATATTCTTGATATTCAAAAGGTATTTTTTTTTATTAATGACATAGAACAGGTAGATTTTTACTCGATAAGATAAGAATCTCTTTACAAAGAAGGAGTTTTCTTAAACCGTAGATATATTGACAAATTTAGACACCACAACCAGACTTTAGATTTTATCAGACAAAACAATACAGCCTACCTTATGTGGGGCATGATTGGAGTGTTAATATCTTTCCTTTACGCAACCAGTCTTTGTACCCCATTTCTAAAACCAGTTAGGGTTCTTGTCTCTTCCTATTTTACCAGAATAGACTATACATCTATCTATATCTATAATTTTTTCAGGGTGAACGATCATCACGATGCCGCACACTTGAGATAGATAGAGTTGGAGGATGACAATTATAATCTCAATCATCCTTTCAAATTGTAACGTTGTATTGTAACCTTATAAGTGTTGGTATATCACTTCTTCTCTCATCACTAAAATGATGTGCAAGAACAATAAGGACGACCAAGACGATGTATTTTATTTTTTTCTGAATTTTTCCAAAAGTTAGATGCATTATGTCATCTAGAGGGAAAGCATGAATCGCATCAATAATAAATATTTTAAAAACCTTGTTGCAAGTTACATAGAAAAGTGAGATTAATGCTTTATTTTAACTCTTTTTTTATTTTTTGGATTTTCTATCAAAAAAGTATTAATTTTTAAAAAACTTAACCATTCATTATTTGGAAAAGCTTGTGATAGATCATATTTAATAGAATATGAGAGAATCTCAATCAAAAAAACTGATATATATTAAGCAACAACACTATTTAGAACCATGATATGAAATTCAAAAGCAAGCTAAGTTTATGAATAAGACCAGTAATTTCTTTTTTTAAAAAAAAAAGTCTTGGACATAGGAGAAAATACAATGTTTGTGTATATATGTATAAAACATTTTCCTAAATTTTATGTAATGTTATTATCTTATGGTTTCTTAATTCACCCCACACACATGGGGTAGGAATAATCAGAAGAAAAAATAATACACATACATGTTTATATATATATATATATATATATATATATATATAAAAACTAAAATAAATACTGTTAGTTAATACTAATAAAAAAATTTAGTTTATTTATCATTTTATCATGTTATTATAAATTGCTTTCATAATTACGTACTCTTATTAGTCTTTGTGTTAAAACAAATGAATTTATGAAATTTTAACATGAAAGTTGACATTTATTTAATAGAATCGAGAAGTGGCTGAAACAGCCACTCAATGTATAAGTTCATTTAACAAATAAAAAGGTTTCTCAATTTAATTGTTTTTGTGAGTGTGAGTGATTGATCAATGTGTTATATATATATATATATATATTTGTGTGTGAATGCATGGTAATAACAGAAGATGGCATGCATCTAGCTTATTTGCAGACCCAACATCCTTGAGTTTAATTACATGTTGAATTTAAATGATGTGGGTTTGACAAGATATCAGACTCAATATCCTTGAGTTTAGTTACACGCTGACCTTGAATATATATGTGTCTAATAAAATATCAAAACTAATATTTTTAGATTCAGCTACGTGTTGAGCCCCCAAATACATGCTGGTCTATTAAGGTACTAGACTCAACATCATTAGGTTTAACTATGTAACTAAACTCAAGTGCATGAGGGTCTAACACTCAATATCTTTAGGCTCAACTACACGCTAGGCCTAAATGCATGTTGATCTAGCAAGGTTTGATAACCAATATCATGGGGTCTGAAATCATTCCAAATCTAAATACATATAGAGCTAATAATCTTTTTAGACTCCATATTGGGTCACAGGAATTTGTTTGTTTACTCTTGTGTCTTTTAACATAAAATATTAAAAGTAAATAATGATCATCTCTTTATATTCCTAGGTGCATAAAAGTTTTCTAAGAGTCTACTATATTTCCATTAATATTAATATTGTGTAAAAGATAAGTTATTTCTCATTAATGTTGTGTAAAGAATATTTATCTTTTATTAATGCTATTGTGAGAAGATGACATTTTAACCCTTTCATATAAGCAATGTGACAAGGTTCAAATGCTATATATACCATATGAACCATCCTAGTAAATGACTTACAACTTTTCTATTACCTAAAATATTCTATTACCTTCTTATTTTGAGTATTTATGATACATAACTAGAAACTTTTTTAGAATTAAAAACTTATTGTCTCATTTATTGCTTTTTCTTATTGAAAATTACTAATTTTATCATCAAATAGGTCCCTAAATCCTACAAAAATATATTGTTTTATAGGTGACAAGTTTTCTATCATCAATTATCAATTTCGTGAATTCTAGAAAAAAAAATATTAAAATGAATGTGTGATTACTCATTATTCTAACAATAAAAAAATCTCATTTTTAAGCCTATTGAATATTCAAAATATTATCTATGTGTTTAGAAAAATCTTGATTTGAACATTTAAATACTTTATGTTTGTTGAACACTTGAAATACAAGATTCAAAGAAATTTGAATATTTGAAAAACAAGATTAAAAGAAAAAGTACGAAAAACAAGATTAAAAAAAAACGCAAGAAAAACAATGCATATATGTTTATGATATAAAATAATTTTAAAAGTATTTTTTATTTAAAAATTTATTAAAATATTTTTTTATTGGTAACATCAATTAATATTTTTTTAATTAAATAACACTTTTAAAAACATAAAAAAAAAAAAACAAGAAATGACCACATAATTTAATTTCAAAATGTTAGAGGGGGGATGGTGGGAGGCTTTCTTTGTTGACTGTTCCATAAAAATTGGTGGTCCTACCTATCATTTCATGTTTTTCGCAACATAATTTTTCAAAAATAGATGTTAGGTCAGATCATGATGATGATTAATGTATCTAATTCCAATAGTAATTAGTGAATGATGCTTCAACAAATGAATTCAACAAATAATCTTTTCTTGTTGTTGCCTGCACCCTCTGGAACTCAAGTCCTGATAATCTTACAAGAATAGGAGAAATTATCCAACAAAAGGTGTAGTCAACAATCAACGTAACGCCTAACTAAAAAAAGGAAACGAAAAGTCTATGTTTCTAAGTTATCAGTCAATGCCATTACCATTTCTCTCAAAAACAGCGAGTTTTTTTAGGAAGCTGTGAAGAATAAATCCATTCCTAGCAAGTATTTTGAGGCTACCCTTTGTTTGTCCTAACTGGATTGTCGAGTGTGAGTCAAACAAACAGCCTTGGCTTCTTTTTTTGTTGTACATTTGTATTTAATCTCCTTCAGCTTCTCTCCTTCCCTTTCATCACTTTATACATACGTAAAGCCTCTTCTTCCATTCCTTAATCCTGTTCCTCCAAGGTTGCTCGCTGAAAGTAGCTGGATTTTCACCGCCTTGCATCACTGAAGAATCAGAGGCCTGTTCTGTGAGGTATGGTTTCTTTTTACCTGCTCAAATGCCAAATTCACGTTACTGGAATTTGAGTATTTCTTGATATGGCATCTCCTGGTTGCATTGATAGACAATCTAAATACCGTATAAACTAACTGTTCATGTTTTGGCAGAGCAAACAAGCTCTCTTTTTCTTAGCTGTTATATTTGATAGTTTTGAGCAGGAGAGTCAAGCTTCATCAGAAAATAGATATTAGAACAATGTTAGGCACCATGCAGGAAAAACAAGACTATGCCAGCCAGATTACGACAGATGAGTTTTGTTCTGCGTATATGCTCCTATTCCTGGTCAGAATATGAAAAACCTTAAGGAAATTTACATAATCTGTCAAGGGAAACATCAATGCCAACCCCAGTTAACATTATATCTTTTTTTAAAAAAAAAAAACTTATAAGGGTGAATTCCTTACATCAAATTCAATAGAATTTTATAGATAAAGGAGAAAATTACCTTAGAATCTGACCCATCTTCTGCATTAGGTCCTGAGCCGGAAAAAACAGGAACTCAATTTGAATTATGCTGGTCAAAATCATGGTTTTGAGACTGATAGGAAGCAATAGAAATTGGGAAGGGAGAGAGATTAACACTTGCCTGTAAACCATTCAAGAGTCAAAAGAAAATAGGTAAGCCTAAAGCCAAGCCAGAACCCATAACACTCAAACACACCATGCAAAAGGCATTGCTACTTGTTATTGGCAAATGTGATTGCCACGTCCAAAATATGGCTCCATGTCTATGGATTGTAACTCAAGCATGGTATATATAATTCCTATCTCACTGCAATGAAAGCCTACCTTCGTCTTTTAGTTAAAGTTTATACTTTTGACTCCTCTAAAATGGAAGGAGTTAGGCAAGCCAAGGTGCTGCCAAACATTTCATAGGCACTTTCACTAATAATACACACACACACACACACACACACATGCTTTGATGTAATAGATGTCACTCTTTAGATGCATGAATTCTGCCTAACCGTATGCATGTTTGTTCCATAAATGAGAGGCTTCCAGCTCACAAATTTGAACCTTTTCAGGTCGTAGCCTAAATGACCTGGGAGCAAGCTTGTACATTGAGATAAGCATCAATGGAGAAGCCGCCAAGCCAGAGCACAGTCGGTGGTAAACCTATTACTACATTTGTGCAAACAGACACAAAGGCCTTTCGTGATGTCGTTCAGCGGTTAACAGGCTCATCAGAGGGTGATGCAGCAGAAGGAACAGCAGTAGCAGCAACAAAGATTGCAGGCATAACGAGATCAACACCTAAACTCCATGAAAGAAGGCAAAACCTAAGGCCCAAGCTAGAGATAGTGAAGCCCCCTCTTAACTTCAAACCTAGTACTTCGCCAACGACATCGGGCAATCACAGTCTTCTTCCAAGCCCCGCAGGAACCCCTTCATTCATGTTCTCCCCTTCCACCATTTTATCAAAACTGTCAATCCAAGAACAGGAGAGCAGAGGAGAGTCAGCAATATCTGACTTAAATAACGAGGAAGAAGAGAAAGCCATTAAAGAGAGGCGATTTTACCTGCATCCATCACCACGGTCTAAACCTGGTTACACTGAACCAGAGTTGCTCGCATTGTTTCCTTTAACATCCCCCCAAGCAAGTGACAAACACTAATTTTGACAGTGTATATCCTCCCACTGGAAGAACTTTTTTCCCTGTGAAGTAAAGGACGTCGTGTTAACTGTTACCATAAACAGATGTTATCGTTTTTGAGAAAGCACCAAGTAATGTAATGGTATTGTTCTTATAATTCTCAAGAGATCATTTTTCATCATAAATAAGCATCCACGGTGACTCACGCGAGTGCAGAAATGACGGCTAAGGTATCCATTTTTAAATATAATGAACGAGTAAAAGTGCAGGGGGTTATGTGCCATTGGAAGCCTTCATCATATCTTCTTGAAGCATGCATTGTTAACTATTCAGGATATCGCTGTGGTCTGCCCATAGGTTATTTTTCGCACAATCAGTGTCCATTTTACTCTCTTTTTCCTGACCTTTTTGTTGAATGTCATCTGTGGTCTAATTGCTGAGGGATTGCAACCACTTAACAAAAATGACAGAAGAAATCTGAACTCTTTGACAAGTGTGTTTACTGGTAAATATTTCTAAAGGAAAGGATTGACACACTGAAATCTAGACTATAACTAAAAAATTGTAGTGTAATAGTTGAATATATATATAACCAAAATTTCAACAAAGTTTCTTTTATATTTTTTTATACCAAGTTATCGACCCAATATTATTAACCTGTAAACATTAATCAAAATAATCATCCCATCATCTGAACCTTCAAAACTCAACCATTTCCATATTCTATAAAACAATTATTTAAAGTCAATTAACTCATAGCATGCATTACATCATATATAAGTAATTAAGTTAAATATTATAATTCTTAAACACAAAAGTGTATTACAACAAAATATTGGTTCTTCCAATAACATCAATTACTTAACAAAATTATCCATCCATACATCTACTTTCTAATTTGAGGGTACCTAAAAACATAATTATATTAAGCATGATTAAAATTATACATTACGATAAACAAATCATTAAGGACTGCTTATTTATATGCATTAATGTAATTCTCACATCATGAAATATCTAATCTTTAGTAATTCAATAATTTTGTCAATTCTTAATATGATTTCCGAATAGAAATAAATTTATGAAAATATCAAGAGTATCTTTAACAAACCCACATATTTAACTTTAATTTAAATCAATTAAATTCTACAATTATCCATTACACCGAGTATTTATCTTATTAACCAGGGAGTTAAATTCTCTTAACTTACACATTCGTCAGGATACTATTTCCCTTAACTAAGAAATCATTATCTTCATGCATCTATTTATCTGGACATTATTTCCATTAACTAGAAAATAATCTTTTAAATTCGTCTATTCAGCAGGGCATTAAACTACCTCTTTATTTCATAACTTTATAGTAAAATTAATATCCAAGAAAATTCCTTCTACAATAATTTCACATAAGCTATTAAGTTACTTTAAAGTGTTGAACACCTATCTAGTGCTTGTGTGCGCGGAAAGGTCCCTCGTAGATTAGATCCTGCGACCTAATTTGTATTAACACAATTTACCATGTCATTGCTCATTCATTTGAACCGCTACCATTATAATACTAATTACATATTTCTTCATTCAATCCAACACCCTTAAATAAGTTTACTTAAACTTTTAAATCAAAAGGGATAAAATCCCTTTTTTAATTTTTTTTATCAATACAAGTCCCTAAATTCTCCAATGATTTACTCGATTGGTCTAAAACCACCCTCCTAAATTAACAAAGTCTAAATCAAAACTTTTTTCCTCTCTCTCTCTCTCTCTCTCTCGAAGTCTAAATCAAAACTTTTTTCCCTTCTCTCTCTCTCTCTTTTGGTGTGTGTTATTGTCAAACTTCAATAAATAAGGAAGAAGGTGAGAGTTTTTCTCCATTCTTACAAAAATCATTATTCAATTAACCTATCAACATCAATTATCTACAATTTGATAAGATTTCTAAACAATTTTATTAAAAATCAATTGTCCCAATTTTCTTTTTCATAGCCGAAATTCATTTAAAAGAAGAAAGTGAGGATTTTTCTTCTCTCTTTGAAAAATCCTTACTTATTTCATCTATTAACATTTATAAACCTATATTTTCCCGTAATTTCCAAACAACTGCATTAAAACCTTAAATCTTTCAAATCTTCCCCTATGGCCGAAACCTCTAATAAAAGGGGGAAAGGGATTTTGTTTCTTCTATTTAAAATTAAACACTTACCCAATTATAATCTATGTTTTCTAACATGGTTCAATCATAATTTCCATTATTCTCATAACTAATATCATAAACCCACAATTTCACATAATCACAATAATTCAATTCCTTCATCAAAACATAAAATTTGAGAAATTAATCACTTGGAGCATGTTCTTTACTTTACTTTGATAAGGATTAAAGGAAAGAATGCAAAAAAAAAAAAAATCAAGTTGTCTTGTCCTCCCTCTTCAAACCCTCGCTTGAATTTCTTTTTCCAAAACACTCACAACACTAAAATCACCTCTCTAAATTATGTTACTTTACCTTAACTAAGCTAATCACTCCAATTATACATGCTTAACTAAGCTAATCACTCCAATTATACACCTTTATTGATGAAATTAACAAGAATTCAAGTAGAAAAATCACACAAAAGCTCTCCCTGTCTTTGTTTTAAATCGTTGGCCAAGAGAGAAAAATGGGGCATTTATAGTTTAATTTTTCTTGTATTTACACATTGGCTCTCATTACTTCTTATTTCTATTTTTGTCCCACAATTCTCTTTTTTACTTAATTTAAACCATAACACCTTCTCTTTTATTCTATTGTATCTCATCACAATACCTGAAATCCTTTTATTTAATCTATTCAGTGTTTTATTTATTTTGTTCGGATATAATTTATTGGGTTTTCACAGGTGCATTATTAGGAATTCTTTGCATAAGAACACAAAACTATTGTTTAGAAAGCTAAAAACCGGGAGTTTATAAACAATATATGTTGCATAGCACTTTCTCTAGTCATATTTGACATGTATGCTTATCTTTACTATTCAATTATATTCATGTGAGGTAAAGTTCCATTAAGCACAGCAATAATCACTTCAATTCATGAACTTAAATAAGAACAAGTTACAAAGTTTAAGGCGCATCCGTTTTATCTGTTGGAGTTTCCCAGAAGTTGGGAGACAGTCATACTAGTTGTTCAAAATAACATATGAAACAATCCCAGGTCACTAAAAGAAATTGTCCAATTAAGTTGTTAACAAATAACTTTCAGATGCTATCTACTGGAGGTTATGTAGAATTTTATATGTCAAAAGTTCTATGGTTGGGACTTGCCTCTCCAGGAATATGGATACTTGAGGGCAGATGGATGTGAGTTAGAAAGGCATTGAACCTTGATGCTCAACTATATAGAAACTGTGTTGAACAGAAATCTGCCACAAAAAAAAAAAAATCCTCTTAAGTTGATAATAAACCAGGTGACAAACAAATATTAAACAACATGGTGACATGTTAGAGATAAATGAACAAGTGTAAATACAGCTATGAAAACCTCAGTCTCTTATAATTATGAAAATATCCAATCTCAATGCCCACAACTCCCTAAGGTATGCCACCAAAAAACAGATGAAGCAAGCAGAAGGAATTGGTTGACACATTGAGGCCTTCCAAAGGACTGTGGAGTGACTCATTTTGATGAGTTTGCACGCATTAAGGCCAAACAAGGGGTCTAATGAAATCCACACTTTTACAATTTGTCATTTAGACGCAATAGATTTTATCCCATATTTTGAAGTTTCTATAGAAGCAATAAGATAAAAACATTAATTTGAAGTTGGAAACATACCAAAACTGTAGCAGAAACTCATTCCATGATCCTGACACAGAAGTTGGGAAACATTGCATCCAATCGATTAACTTGAAGTGGATCATGTTTAACAACTGAATCAACATGAAGTAGAGAGATTGTGTCTACACCCCAATGCAGCAGAATTATGCCTTAGAAAATTTATATCCAATTATAGTAACATCTTTTGCAAGGCAACTCCACTTGCTTTCACATCTAACATTCAGAAAGCTGTAAGTTTAACAGTTGATTTAATTGAAATGGCTCTTTGATTTGGTCATGTAAGGAACTTAATATTCTGTAAATATCAATTCTATGAGGATGAGAAGTATCTCCAGCCACAAAGACACTTTTTCTCCTCTCCACTTCAATCCAACTGCATCCTGCTGGCTTTTTAAGATCTCTTGTCCTCATCAGTTTCCTTATTTCCATGACTCCATCCCATCTAGCATCTGCTGCATACAGGTTTGACAAAACTACATAGTTCCCAATATTCTCTGCTTCAATTTTAAATAAACAGTCCGCTACAAAACGACCCAATTCCACTTCATGATGGGTCCTGCAGGCACCTAACAGCGTCCCCCATATATTTGCATTAGCTTCAATGGGCATTCCAGTCACCATAGAAAATGCATCATCAATTCGACCTCCCCGAGCAAGAAGATCCACCACACAAGAATATTGTTCCATGGTTAGCTTCATTCCATGAACCTTCTCTATAGAATAAAAGATATTTAATCCTTCATCTACAAGGCCAGCATGACTGCATGCAGATAAAACAGTGGTGATGATAACATGATCTGGCTTTATACCCAATTCAATCATATGAAAGAAAGTCCCAAGAGCTTCCTTTCCCATACCATGCATGGCATATCCTCTAATCATGGCAGTGAATATAATCAGATCCTTATTTGGAATTAATTGAAAAAGTTTAAAAGCATAGCCTATGCTGCCGCATTTTGCATATACATCTTGCAGAGCTCCATCCAAGTGGAGATCACCAAAACAAGACCTGATAGCATATCCATGGCACTGCTTTATCAATTGCACAGAAGCCATTTCAGCACATGCTGGAAGGAGGCTTATGATAGTCACTGCATTGGGTTTTATTCCGTGAGCTTGTAGCTCATGGAAAAGACCAAGAGCTTGACTAGAACAATCATTTTCAGCATATAATCTAACCATTAGATTCCAAACAGAGAGATCTGAGGAAGGCATCCTGTTAAAAGTTATATATGCTTCATCAAGTAACCCGCAATTGATATAACCTGAGATCATTGCTTTGAAAGTGACCGAATTCCTGTTCTCTGATAAACTCTGGAAAACTTTAGATGCGTACTCAATGTTACCACATTTAGCATATGCATCAAGTATTGCATTTCCAATGGTAGGTTCAACATCAAATTTTGATGCTAAAAGACCATGCCTAATTGAGTAGCTATGGGCCTCTTTAACCTTGTCTTCTTTCAAAACATTAACACAAAAGTGAACAACACTTAAGATTGTAACAGAATCAGGTGTAGTTCCTTCTCTAAGCATCCACTGTAATAATTCCAGAAACCAGGTATTATACCCACTCTCAACAAGAGCATCAAGCATAGAATTCCATGATATTAGGTCCCTCCGAGAAATCATAAAAAATGTCTCGTATGCTCCTTCTATGTCATCACACTTGGAATAAAAACTAACTAGAGCATTCCCGACAGATGCATCCTCACATAATAAAGGATGCCGAAGGACATAGCCATGAATCATTTTACCAACGTGCAAGTTTCTAGACTGTGCACAGGCAGGAATAATGCAGAGAAGGGTGACAGAATCTGGCTCAATCATGTCTAGAGTAAGTAATTCATGAAACAGTTCCAAAGCTTTTGACCATTCACCATTTGATGCATATCCTGCAATAATAGCATTCCATGAAACCAAATCTCTCAATTCCATTCTTCGAAACAGCAATTCTGCTTCTTCTACCCGTCCAACTCTTAAATAGAAACTTACCAAAGCATTCCAGACAAAAACATCCGCTAACAACTCGTTATGCCGGAGCACATAGCCGTGAATCTCTTTCCCAAACCAGCAAGCGATATACTCGTCAAAAGACGCACAAACAGGCAGAATATTAGCCAAGGTAGTATAATTTGGCTTTATTTGACCTTTTAGCATCGAACTAAACAATCTAAATGCATCCTCCATCAAATTATTCTCTGCAAACCCTGAAATAATCGCATTCCATGAAACAACATCTTTTTCATCAATACTATCAAAAGCAGCATAAGCATCTTGGCATACTAGCCCGCATTTTGCATACATCGACACCAATGCATTCCCAGCAAGTGTATGTGTATCCAATCCAGATTTAATAGCATAACAATGCACACTCCTACCCATATATACATCCCCTAAGCGAGCACACACAGGAAGAACAATAGCAGCAGTAACAGAACTAGGCTTCGGATAATTAGCACCATGCATTTCCCTGAACAACCTCAAAGTCTCAGCTTCATAAACTCTGGACCCAGCATACCCAGATAAGAGAATGTTCCAAAAGATAGGATCACGATCATTACAACTACCAATTTCACCAAAAAGTTTCTTGCTTTCATCTAGAGCTCCACATTTGGCATACATATTAAGCAGGGCCTTAGACACAGCATGGCAAGAAACATGACCTATTCTAACAATACTCCCATGAAGAGCTCTCCCCCATTTTATAGCTGATCGTCCAGCACAAGACTTGAGAATCGATGCAACAGCCTGATAATCTTGTCTAAAATCTCCATTACAGTCACTTATCATGGTATTACATGCTTTTAAATATGGCTCAACCATCTTACTAAACAGCACCACTCTAGTTTCTCTCGACAACCCGAGTTAAAAAAACAAGTTTTTGTTATTGTTTTCAGCTACAAAATGAAAAAAAATGAGACCTTTTTTCTTCACATGGAAATTTCAACAAATAGTTTGCATGCAAAAGATCAACCCTACAAAAGCATAGGAGCATGATCCAATTGAGCTCAAACCCACCAATTCCTTGAAGATTCATGTTCCATTTTTTCAAAGAAGCACCTGCTTCATTGGTCAACTGAAATTGGGTCCGATCCTCCTTTGAAAATTTTTGAAACTTTCAATGGTAAAGACCACCATTATATTGGTCACTTCACTTTCTCAGGTATTGACCAAAGCAATTTTTAGTTTATTACATAAAGGAAATGGCTTTCCTGTCCTCCAGCATACGTTCTCCAATGAAGGGTAGTTCGGGAATTCCAAGTATAAACTGAGAGGCCCGAAATTACCTCGAGCAAGAGCAGCCCCACCCACTTTCCCTCTTTCCCTCTCAGTGGATTATTATTATCAATTAATTAGCAAGTCAATTATAATCAAATCAATCAGAGAAAAAAAATAAATTTAAATAGGGTTTCGGTCCCTCTATCTCCCTCCTTCTTCAAGTAGACAGAAGACAAAGTTCTGAAGGTTTCTATGTCTCAAAGGTTCGATCTTTAATCTCTACAGTTTTTTTAATTTTTAATTAATTCAAATGGTTTGAGTCTATTTCTTTTTTGGGTTTTATATGACGATTAACATTTTAATAGATTAAAGATTGAAACTTTGATTGTGGGCTATTTTTAAAAAAAAAAAAAGAAATTGATGTTTGGTTAATGAATTTTTTAAAAAAAGAAATTGATGTTTGGTTAATGAAATTGATGTGAATGGATGGGACGATCAAATGGTCTCTGACTTGGTGATTAAGGAGAATTTACATATCGCTTTTTATGTTTGGATTAGTTGAATTGATGTGAATGGGAAACTCTGTTTATTGTGATTATGATGTAATCACAGGGACATTAATTTGATGATTAATACTGTAAGAGATGAAGGAGAATTTGTTTTTTCGTTGTGGAATATGTTGTTGTTGTTCACTTTGATGTCTGCATTAGTTAATTGATATGAATAAGAAATCAAAGTGTTTACGGTGATTTTTCAACTCCCTTTGATTCTTGTGTGGGTTTCTTTTTGTTGTATTTAGGAAACCTTGCAAGTATTTTGCTCAAGGAGCATGCTGGCGAGGGGATCATTGTAAGTTTGTGCACGAAAGGAAAGAGCCTCTATCTCTGTCAAGAAATGTAATGATATTTTGTGTTTATTAGTTTTTTTTTATGATTTGTTTTGGTTGAGTCAAGATTTGATTAGTTCTCTTATTGTTTGTTGGTTTTATATTACTTATTTATTGATGCAGGTTTGTACTTTTTATCAAAAAGGAAATTGCACTTATGGAAGTCGGTGCAAATATGAACATGTCAAAACTTCCTGGGTAGCTTCTGGTGGTGTTGCCGGGGCATCATCTTCATCGAGTCCTCATCAATCTGTAATCTTAAGTTCTGTTCCTGCAAGTGTTGGATCAGGTAGGGATGGCAAAAAAGAAGACCGTCCTCTCTGTTCGTTTGATGTTGCTGGTGATTGCCCCCATGGAGATAAATGTTCTTTTGTTCATGGTGATTTATGCCCTACTTGTGGAAAACATTCCTTGCATCCCTTCCAGGCAGATGAGAGAGAGGAGCATTTGAAGTCATGTGAGAAGAACCAAAAGTTTCTTGTGGCAGTAAAACGAAGTGAAGAAATTGAGTGCAGTGTATGCTTGGATCGTGTACTTTCAAAGCCCACAGCAGCTGAACGAAAGTTTGCAGTCCTACCCGAATGTAATCATCCATTCTGCATATCCTGTATCAGAAATTGGCGTAATGGTTCCCCAGCCTCTGGGATGGCATTAAGAGCCTGCCCAATATGTCGTAAAACATCACACTTTGTCATCCCAAGTCTTATTTGGTATTCCTCTAAAGAAGAAAAGCAAGAAATTATTGATACGTACAAGGCCAGGCTCAGGTGATCTTTTTGAAACTCTGTATATCTCTGCTTTACTTGCAACCTGATTTGTTTGATCATCAATCTAATCTTGGATGGATTCAGAAATAATTTCAAACACATGCCTATTGTAGTTGGATGCTTGTTAAGACATCCCTGTTCAACTTCTTGATGTAGTAGAAGGAGGAGATATAACTTTGTTCATATTCTGAACAAATTATCGGTTTAAGCATCGACAAGCAAGCTAGATACTGAATATGGACCTAAGAGAACTTGATATTCCTTAATTTGTGCTGTAGATTTCTGTTGTGAAATAACTGCAAATCTGCAATTATATTCATTTTTTATTTTCTGTTTTTGCAGGCAAATAGATTGCAAGCACTTCAACTTTGGGAATGGGAACTGCCCATTTGGCATCAATTGTTTTTACAAGGTAAGATTAGTCAATTTGAATATGCAATTTCAATTATATATTGCTTCTTTGTCTGTCGCACTGTTAGAGTATCTTGTGAAGATTCTATTTTTTATCTCAAAATGTTTTTCACAGGCGCTCAATTTACCCACAGACATTTAGTGATAATTGAAGGCTACCAAAGCTATAAAGCTATGTTTTATTCTTAACTGCACTTACCTGGACCTTTTTTTGTGTCATCGTCTGAACATGTGTTGTTAGACAATAACTTCTCTATTCTTCACAACCCCATTGCCAATGTGCTAGCCTCATGCCTTTGCTGGCTGCCCTCTTTTGAAGCTGTAACTTTTTAAATATGGGTGTATTGAATCTCTCTCTCCGGGTCTTGAATGTCTCTTCTTCTGTCTGTAAATTTTCTCACATGCATGTATTTTTAGGATTGTTTTTGGGAGGCATAGTTGAATGTTGTGGCACTTTTTTTCCACAAATGGTAAAAAAAGAAAAAAACTGATTTAAGAACCAGGAGATAAATCATTCTTTATCATTGGAAGAGTGCTTCCTTTATGTTCATTTATCGTTAGCTTGTTACTCCTCTTAATGAATATCTTGTTGTGTTGTGTTCTAGCACACTGTCATGCCGGGCTCATATACATGGAAACATCACAAGCCCCCTCCAAGGAGGCCACCACCTCGTCACAGATCCAATGCAGGGCATGTGGATTCATCATTTGATTATTTTGGGCCAACAATGGAAGATTTATTAGACATGTTTGATGATGATTATCTTGATTATGATAATTACTGCGATCCCTTTCACGAAGAAGACATCTTTGATTATGAGGATTATTTCGATGAAGAACGACTTTTTCCTTTTGACATGGCTTTATTACTCGCAGGGATGGATTTTGGAGGAGCAAGTGACATCTCTAGTGATGAGGATGATTTCTATTAATTTATATAGCTTTTTATCCTTCGTTGCAAACAGTTTGAAAATGACATCACAAGTCATTTTGCTTTCTGGGATTTAGTATCTTTCTCCTCGTAAGCATCTTTGAGAAGATGAAGTTCTTGGTCTGTCAACTATATAAGGTTGTGTTGCAGGGGCTGTGTCAAGAACTGTATGTTCTGATTGCATTGTAGTAGTACGGCTGCCAGGATTTTGATTGCCTCTATATGTTCGGGCAACATATTGGATGAAGATAGTAGGAATTTGCAATGTCATCGGTTTTCTATTTTTATCTGTCAACACTGGTATTATAATTTTAGGAGGCTCAATTTTCATGAAAGGTGTGTTTATTGTTAGCATTTTGATCATCATTCCCACAAGAACATTTTTATATAAATATGTACATGAAAACCAGGATGAGGAGATTCTGACATGTTCAGATAAAGGAAAACAGGCTCTTTGATTGCTGTACAAAGGGCATAGCAAACGGAAATGCCATTTTTACCTTCCATTCTGATAGATAAAAACATGTTTGTGGAGACAAGGAGAGCAACCCTCAGACAGACCATCACACTCTCTTCTCCTTCAAGGTTCTACTTTTAGACGTGACAGCAGAAATTATAGCTTAGTCCCTATGAGCTAAAACCCTAATTAAGTAGCCCCCATGATCAACTTTAAGCTAATTCTTTGATGTCAACTCATTATTAATGGATCCATTCTTTGTTAAAAAGAAATTATCGAACATTAGCCTTGTTCATCTTCATTGATCAATTTAGATCTTGTTCATGTCGTATGATTTCTTCTTTTCTTCACTTGGGTTTTTTTTTTCCTATAAATATATTGGTTTATCCTTCTCTTAGCAATATAATAAGGAATTATACTCTGAAAAAGCTTAAACTTAAAGCTCTTTGACATTATCTTTAATTGAACCTATTATATCATAGGGTTTTGAAAACAGCTTTATTAACAATATTCTTAAACATATGAAAGTATTGTAGCTTTTCCCACCCATATACTTCTTCTTTTTCTTTTTTTTTGTTTGTTTATTTTTTTGTCATATTTTTTTTCATTTTCTTCCCTTTTTTAAGCTTTACATTTTTTTTCCAAGATTGTTTTTTTTTGTTTCTATATTTTTTTAAATTATCTTTGTTGATTTTGTTTCTGTATTTTTTAAAATTATCTTTGTTGATTTTTTTAATATTGAATTAATTAAAAAATTAGTTCTATAGTTTTTTTCTTTAAAACATTATGTATTATTACAATATTTTTCTATATGGTTTTTTTTTTCTAAAAAGCATGGGAAAGTACTATAGTTTTCCCCATGCCATTTTTTTTGTTTTTTCATTTTTTTATTTTTTTCTCTTTGTTCTTTTTTTTCCCACATTTTTTTTTCGTTTTCCCCCTTTTTTTGGGCATTACATTTTTTCCCAAGATTGTCTTATTTTTTTATTCTTTTTTTTATATATATTTTAAAATTATCTTTGTTGCTTTTTTTTTAAAATATTGAATTGGTTGAAAATTTAGTTTTGTAGTTTTTTTTCTTTAAAATATTATGGATTACTATAATGCTTCTCTACATGACTTTTTTTTCTTTTTTTTATGAATTTTTTTCTTCTTTTTATTTTTTTAAAATAGTTTTTTTTTTATTTTGCTTTGTAGTTTTTTTTTAAAACACCATGGATTGCGATTTTGCTTTGTAGTTTTTTCTTTAAAACACCATGGATTGTTACAATATTTCCTCACAATGTTTTTGTTTTGCTATAGTTTTTTCTATATTATTTTTAAATTATCTTTGTGGAATTTTTTTTAATATTGAACTGGTTAAGAATTCAGCTTTAACTTTCTCCACATATATTTTTTATATTTTTTATTTTTTTGCTTTTTTTTCCAAAATGTTTTTCTTTTTTTTGTGTTTTTTTCAGAATTTTTTTTATTGATTTTATTTTTTTCCCACATATATTTTTTATTTTTATTATTTTTTTGCTTTTTTTCCATTTTTTTTTTCTTTTTTGTGTTTTTTTAAGAATTTTTTTTATTGATTTTATTTTTTTAATATGAAACTGGTTGAAAATTTAGCTTTGTAATTTATTTTTTTTGAAACACTATGGGTTTTTACAATGTTTTTCCATATGTTTTTTTTATGATTTTTTTTGTTTTTTTAATTATCTTTGTTAATTTTATTTTTTTAATATTGAATTGATTGAGAATTTAACTTTGTAGTTTTTTTTTTAAACACTGTGGATTGCTATAGTGTTCCCTTGCATGATTTTTTTTGTTATGATTTTTTTTAAATTATCTTTATCGCCGCATGACTTTTTTTGTTATGATTTTTTTAAAATTATCTTTATCTATTTTATTATTTTTAATATTGAGCTGGTGAGAATTATAATTATAGATTTTCTTATAAAATACTATAGATTGTTATAGTGTTTTCCTGCATGCTTTTTTTTCTTTTTGTTTTTTTTCATAATTTTTCTCAAAAAAATTTTTATTTAATTTTTTAAATATTAATCTGGTTAAAAATTTAGTTTTGTAATTTTTTTCTTGAAAACATTGTTGATTGCAATAATTTTTTTTATATTTTTTTTACAAACCTACGACAATGCATAAGTATATCATAAAACTAACGGTAATTTTTTATATATTTTTTCTACAAACCTACGACAATGCATAAGTATATCATAAAACTAACGGTATTGCACGGGCATGACATCTAGTTTTTTACTATTTTGTGTTGAATAAAAATGCTATATTCGTTCTTATTTGGCATTTGGTATCTCTTTTTTTTAAAGTATTTTTTATATAAAAAATATTAAATTTATATTTTTTAAGGTGATTTTTATATGTTGAAATAAAAAAATAATAAATAATGAAAATATTATTTTAATATATTTTTAATTAAAAAAACATTAAAAAAAGAAAGAAAGAAAAAGGTGACGGCTCAAGAAGAACCATTGGAAGGACAAAAAGTATAATTTAATGTGAAGACATAAGGACTGAAATATAGAGTTTGTTGAATTAGAGGGACTACATTATTAGTTTTTTTTTAAAAAGCACTATGATCAAAGTAACAACTAGCGACAAGGGATCCACTTGATTTAAAAGAGATTCTTAAAAATATCTCTAACACAACACCACTCCTCCTCCTAGTCATCCTCTACAATATAAAAATAAAAATATCTCCATTAACCGTCCAACTTCGAATCCATCAACACAACGTCTCTCTTCTCTCTCATTCTCTGAATAGAGAGTAACGAATCTGCATCCATTGCTGTAAAGAGAGGAAGGATAAGATGGCGCCACCTGCAGTTCCAGGAGGAGGTGCTGTTGCTGCTGGAGGAGGGCAACAGGGTCAAGGACAGCAACGACAGCAGCAAGGAGGGATGGGGCAAACAATAACAGGGATAATAAGGATGGCTGTTTTTTGGTACTTCATATCTAAATTCATCTCTCCCAAAAAAGCCCCTACGGACCCCTCCATCCTCATCTCCAATCTCTTCCAAAAAGGAGATTCTTTGGTATGTTTTAAGGGTTTTTTTATTATTGCTGTTTTGCGATCTGAGTTTTCTTTTTTACTCCGATTTTTCTCTTATTTTTGAAAAAGTTTTGATCTTTGTTGTTGGGTTGATCATGGATTGGTGTTTTTTGCTACTGGTGTTATTGGGTTGGTGTTAAATTTGTAAAGACAGATCAAACTTTAGAGATCACCACCTGAGGAAGTTGTTTTGAACATGCTAATTATATTTTTAAGCATTTGTATTATGAGAAGGCTGATTCTGTTTGGGAATTTGTGAGTAAGGTCACAGTTTTGGAATTTTATGCATCATGACCCTGTGATGTGGAATTTACCTTTACATGGTCATCACTGACAGTGTAAGCAATGAAGTAGGATTTAGAAGCATTTGCAAGCCGGTGCCTCGTAATGGTTTGAAGTGGCAGTGACTGCTGCTAGCGTGCAGTCCTGTGTGCTTGGATTCTCACAGTTTTATTTGCAAAATTCTATCATGTAGTCATATATGATGAGTTGATTTGGTGAATAGATACTGCTGAATCAGGGGCATAGGCATACCTAGAATTAGGTAGGAATGAAAAAGAGAGGGCCCCAGCCAGTAGAATGAGAAAAGCCTCCGAGTGAGTCCATTTAAAAAGTGAGGATTTATACTTTTCAATGGCAAGCAGAAGCGGCCACACCACACTCAATTGAACTCGAGTGTTTCTGCCTATATAGTGGCATAAAAGGGAGGGATGTACTTACTCTATAGACAATTCTACTAGAGAGTGGGTTGTACCAGCTAGGCTATCAAGCAGTTAAAATGCTACTTCAGGATCTTAGGAGTCAGCAAGTGTAGCGGTAGAGCCGTATGACTGTTCCTGACACAAAACAGGAGGTCAATCTTTTCCCGTCAAGGCAGTCCTCTATTGTCAGTGATGTATGACAAAAGGTCTTGAATATCTAATTTCTAGTTTTTCAGCATGTTGTCTTTCAATATAATGAAAGATTGGTTCTTTAGCCTGGTTCAGTTAACCACATTTGGTTTTCTTCTGGAACATTTTAAGTGGGGCCTGAATTTTCAACTTGGGAACCGTATGCTTGTTTTCTTTTAAATTTTGGATTCTATGCTAACACCTGGTCATTATTCCCTGTTATAAACGGTGAAGTGGGATATAGCAGTGTTTGCTAGCAGATTTTCCTTCCAATGCTTTAAGCATGATACTGATTACAAAGATAATAAAAATTGTGTAGTGAATCAGCAGTCTAGTACTTCTTATACAAGGATAACGTGTAATTGGCTATGGTATGTTGCTGGAAAGCAGCAAATTATGCACATTTAAAATATGTAAGAAAGTCATCTGAATGTTGTAATTTTGGTAAAATCAACCCAAGAAGGCTTCTAACTTTTCATCTTCTCACAGACATCAGAAAAGACATGGATATATGTAGCTAATGATTTAGAATGAAGCATCAAAAGATAAAATATAATAAAGATTTACACGTGGAAAAATATTGGATTTAATAACTATTTTGAATTGCCCTTTTCCTTGTCATATATATTTTAGTGATGCTGACAATTTTCTTTTGCTTGTGATCTTTTTTGTTAGCAGTTTTATTCTAATTGAACTTCATCTGCTTTCAGGATATGTGGTTCTATCTCTCTGAGCAGGAAAGGTTTAATGACTTCAATAATGAAGGTGCGCTTATTTGGCATGAAACAAATATACCTTATGCCATTTGGGGACCAGAGAGTACAAGGTCTCTTTCTTTGAAATACTATCCATCTGAGGTACCACAGGCTGCAAGCACATAATCTAATTTCCCATGTCCTATGTTCAAGCAAAATTCATTTCGATTATATTCTGAGACAGTATTAAGTCAGTTATATTCCTTTTCCCCTATAAACTACCTATAAACATGAAGGCATTTTTCTCTCCCAGGCATTGAAGCACAATGGCACTCTTTATGCACATGTTTTCTTTGCACGTTCTGGATATCCACCAGACCCAAGTGATCCTGAGTACCAGCCTCTTGCTGCTTTTGGAAGGGCACACCGTAAGATTTTGTCCATGCACATCAGATTTATCTTTCATTTCATTATTTGATGACATCTTGGTCAATTCAAATCCTGATGTTAGTACCTCAACCTTTTCAACAATTCCAGCTGTTGTTGCATATTTGCCCAAGTCAAAAACAGATAAAAGGAAGAGCCTGTTGGGTGATTCCAAAGACTCCAAGGAGGCTGAAGTGGTTTCTCAGGTCTCTTCTTGGCTATTTGTCATTTGTAAAGTTACTTGAAGATGAATTTTTCATTGATGAGTTCTATCAAAAAGAATTTCAATATTTCTTATTGTTAATGTTATTTGATATGCATGAATATGATAACTGTTTTAGCAATCATACCTGCTGAATCCTCTGAAAAACCAAGTCTTGTCCTAGATTTGGAGGGCACCATTGTTTTCCGTTCACACTTTAATCCTGAATGGTTCTCAGAATTTCGGTATCTGAGCATTCAGAAACTTGCTGTTTTCCATCATTTGCCTTTCTTCTTTGTGACACTTTCTCTCATTTTATTGTCCTGCATTTACAGTCTTAATACAAATTTATGTTAATTGGTTCAGGTGGTTGATGATGGTCAAGCTGATTCTAAAGATGATGGCCCTGTAGAATGGATTTCATATTGGAAACCTAATGTTACAATTAATCTGGTTGATGATTTCACAAAGTATGTTTCCTCTTACCGTCAAGGTTCTATAAGATTTTGCTTCTATCAGCAAAAACAAATAAGTTGAAAATAGGAACTTACTGATCATCTGATCTGATATGGTTTGGAGGACTAAAATGCAGATGGGGATTTTCTTTTACTTTTTTCATATTAGTTATAATACTATTATCATTGAGAATATAAAAGCCTGTATATGCTAATACATGCTTTTCTTTTTCTAATGATGGTTATGCTCTGCTTTGCTGGTAATTATGCTAATTTTTTGTCCCTTTTTTTTTTCCTGAGCAGATACCCCCATAATGCTGTACCGCCAAATATTGCTCCTTGTATCCTTACATTCTTGTATTTCTTCAAGTATAAATTTATTTATATGATTTCGTTTTCCATTTCCTAGAGATTTTGAAAGAAGTTTGTTGGGTACCATTCTGAAATGGTTCAAACACCTAACCTGGCAAATCTGAGCCCCCGCCATTGTCAATTCTACACTTGGAAACTTTTCCCACTAGGAGCTGTAGAGAAATTTACCAACAGGAGGAATAAAAGCAACGGTTTTCTAATGTCAATGGACAGCCACATTGCAGTTGTTGTGGCAAGTGTTTAATTTGACCATGATACAATTAATTATATCTCTATGTTTACATGCAAACATAAATGAGTCGTTATACAATTACACGCTCTATCTTGTGCACTGGTACTGTGCTGTAGATGACATAGATGTATAAGAATAGGAAAGAGGTAGGTTTACAAAAAATTTAGCGATGTGCTTCGTATGTGGCTCTGAAGCTTGCCAAGCTGTCATTTTGGCTTTGATTTCTTGACTTCAGATTTGCAGACTTGAATGTTGAGCCTACTTCAGGGAATTACTTCCCCACCATATTCTTCAATGAATTCTGGCTGCTTCGAGATAAATTGATCCCACTTAATGAGACAGTGACAGAATTGACACTTAATTTGGAGGTGGGTCCAATAAGCATGACAAAATGGCAACTATTCATGCAGATTGATCAGTCATTCCAGGTTCATCGTAGTTATGGAAGCATGCTTGAAGGCGAGGCTGATGAACTGAAGGTACCACTTATCTATATTCAAATCACAGTATGAGGTTGGGTGACTGGAGAGTCTAGATTTAGTTATGAATGTGATACATAACTTAAACCTTTAATTCAAAGTCCACTTAGTAAGATATACTCTCACTTTCATTTTCACTCCAAATTATCTTAGATTAGAGACATTAACATGGAGTTGCTGAATTGTGAAATAACTCCATTGTTTAGTTCAAGTTGGTTTCTAACTAGTTGACTTGGATACCCGAGCCATGATAATACATAAATTACTTTATAATCTTTTCTTAGATGGATAAAAGCATAATTAATTGCTCCCTGAAGCTATACCCTAGGTTCAGAAGCTGATTTCTTTTGCTGATTGTTTCCTTGCTACTCTTTAAAGCCAAATGAAAGTTAGGAATTATCTGTGTTTTCTTGTTTTCCATGTACTGATTAGTTGATAATCTTTTCAGAGGGTGTTCTTGGAAGGAAATCCTTACCTCCTGGTGATTACCATGGTTGTTTCAATGCTTCATTCAGTGTTTGACTTCTTGGCGTTCAAGAATGGTGAATTATGTCCTCCTACAATAAGATTCCTATTTAACTTTAGGATTTGTTGTCTCTGCTGATGCTTTTTGTTGGATGCATATGGAGCTTCTTTAATTTTTTTTCTCTGCAGATATCCAATTTTGGAACAAAAATAAGTCTATGGAAGGACTGTCTGCGAAGTCTGTTGTTGTGAGCTTTATTTCTCAGCTCATTGTCTTTCTTTATCTGCTTGACAATGACACTTCATGGATGATTCTTGCAAGTTCTGGAGTTGGCTGCTGCATTGAGTTTTGGAAGATAGGGAAAGCCATGCACATAGAGGTATCAGTCCTGATCATATTTACTGATATTTGTTAGTTTCCCTTCTGTGTGTGGATGTAACTCCACACAGCTGGCAAAGATTAATGTCGTTGCTATTTTTTTTGTAGACATAAAAATTAGCACGTTTGCACATGTAAATAGTTTTTTCACTGTGGCTTATTAATGTTGCATTTTTTACATCTCTCGTTATGACACCTATATCTTTCATTCACAGCATTAACATTAGTGCATATGTTTTTGCTTCTATCTTTATCTGCTCGCATGTTCCTGTAGCACATTATGAGCAAATTCTCTTTACTCATCTTCTGATTTTGAATTCTGCATGTTTTACATTTGTTGATATTACACCCATCTTTTAGCTAATTGTATAAATGTTTGCTAATTTTGAATTCTGCATGTTTCATGAATTGTCAAGTGACAAATTTCATAATTGTTCTCTTGTCTCCAGATCGATAGAAGTGGAACTATTCCTATGTTGAGGTTCCGAGATCGCGAGTCGTATGCAGGGAATAAGACAAAGGAATATGATGACCTTGCAATGAAGTATTTGTCCTATGTGCTCTTCCTTCTTGTTGCATGCTCTTCTGTTTACTCACTAATGTATGAGCGCCATAAGAGCTGGTATTCATGGATTCTCTCTTCACTCACAAGCTGTGTTTACATGTTTGGTAAGTCACTGTTTCCTTCCATCCCGTCACTTATTCTGTATTTTTGCTTTTCTCAACAAATTAAGAGTTTTTGTTATACGGAGCAGGAATTTGAATTATGTTTTTTTCTATAATTAATTTGTTATTACAGGTTTTATCATGATGTGCCCTCAGTTGTTTATAAATTACAAGCTGAAGTCTGTGGCACATCTCCCATGGAGGCAGATGACATACAAGTTCCTTAACACCATCATTGATGATCTTTTTGCATTTGTCATCAAAATGCCAACATTGCATCGGCTTTCTGTCTTCCGTGATGGTGAGCTATAGTCAGCATTCCATAGTCATGGCAGTCTAATGTAAGATGGTCCAATTGTGCACTGCTGACAATATTAGTTTTGTTTACGTTGCAGATCTTATATTTCTGATATACATATACCAGAGGTGGGTTTATCCTGTGGACAAATCGCGTGTAAATGAATTTGGTTTTGGTGGCGAGGATGATCAGGCATCGGCTGGTGAAGTAACTGCTGCAAAAGAGGAAGAGAAGAAGACTAACTGAGCTGTTGTCAAATCCTTCGAAACTATAGCACATAGCTAAAGTTTAGATAGGATGTTTTGAACCTTTGTTTTCATTTCATTAATCATCATAGAATGTTTTCCAGAGATTTTGTTGGTATTTGATTGCAAAAGTGATTTTGGGATCCCCTTCCTGGGTTAAGTTCTGCCCGGTTCCCACATATTGTTCTGTGTTTGTAGATTTGGAGTTACCTGCAACAAATGAACCTTCAGACAGGTAAATTACTGCACTGTTGGCTAATGCATGAAAGAAGAAATAGCCTGCTAACCAAATAAAACGAAATATGCAACCATCCATTGCCGCAAAAAACCCCATAAAAACAGTCCTACAGTAACTGATAAAAAGCGCCCCCCCCCCCCCCCCCCTCTT